GGAGGAGAAGGGATTGCGGCGTGACCATCCCCCCTGGGGGGTGATTTCTCGCTTTCTGTCTCTATGTCTCTCTCTGTCTGTCTGGCGAGCGCACACGCCCTACAGTGAAAATCTCTCCAAAAAAAATTATTTATTTATTATTAATCTTTTTTAAGCTTGCTATAGAGCATGCATACCCACCAGAGAGAGACAGAGGGAAAGTGAGAAAGCAAGCTGCCAAGTCTGGGCCTCAAACCATGGTAGACCATGTAGGAGTCCAGTGCCTTAATCACCATACTACCTGCTGGCCCATGCTGGTCTCCCTTAAAATGAACGCTGAACTCACACATGTCCTTTGAGCACTCACTATGTACCAGACAAAATCCTTGGCACCGTCCAAAGAACAGCCCTAGATGAAATGAGAGGGTCTTTCCAAAGTTCTTGGGAAATGTGTCTGATGAGCATACGATGTATGGAGTTCAAAACGTTTTGTACGAAGATAAACTTGGGCTTTACTTCGATTTTTCCATGAATTCTTGAAGTCCTCTTGTACATCTTACACTCCACAAAGATCTATTTATCTTGTAAGCTCTCACATTTTTGTTCAGAATAAAGGGTTTAAAGTTGCAAGCTTGCCAAATTCGAAAAAATGACACTTCAGTCCATGTTCTCCAGGGTTCGATTTTATTTTGAGGCATTGAGTGATGCTGTGTTTGGTCACCTCCATTCTCCTCCTGGGATATTGGGCACACTCACGCACTCGAACCGCACAGTTGACCATGTGGGATCCAGCCACCTTAGCTGCCATGCCACCTGGCTGGGACCTAGCTGCCGTTCCTCACAGGGCCACGCACAGTGGGAATGGGTGTCAGAACGGTCCTGCTGCAGGGCGCTGTCTGCTTTGTGTAATTAGCACACGGAGACGACTCTAACCACCAGAGTAGAAGCACCAAAGTAGGAAACAAAAGGGGTGGTTGGGACTGGGAACTCAGAGGAGACAGTCTTAACAGCAAATGTCTTAGCAAAATTTAAATTAGGCAAACCTGCCAGTGCCACCCACTTAAAAAAATAATAAGCCTGAAAGGATGTTGAAAGCATTCAAGCATGATAGCTGAGACCATGGAAAAGGACAAGGTGTGCTTAAAGGAAATTTAAGAATTGACAGCTTCTCTTGAGGGTAAATTTGCATAATTATTTTCTTTCCTTTTTTAAAAAAATGTTGTTACTTGCCCTTGCCAGAGAGAGACAGAGCAAGCAAGAAAGGGAAAGCGAGAGAGCATCCTCCAGGGGGAACAATTACACTCCATTCCCTCTCCTTCATTATCCTCTAGGGACTTTTGGGCATGCATGCACAAGTGCCCGGAGTGTTTCTCAAGCTTCCAGGTCTGGGACTTGAACTGCACAGTCAGCCATATGAGATCCAGCCACCTTAACCACCACACCACCAGGCTAGCCTAGAATAATAGTTTTCTTATGAGCAGAATTCATTTGGAATTCTGAAAACATGAACTCCAGTGATTTCTCTGAAGCATCTAGGGGCCTGAGTGAAGGAGGAAAGAAACACCCTTCTCCCTGAGATGCTGCATCTGGGGCAGGACTGTGGCTACCAGTAATGAGAAAGAAGGCGGTTCTTGGGTTGCCCAGAAAGTGAAGTGGAAGTGACTTTGAGAGTGAGAGAGACTGGGGAGGAGCCTAGGAAGGACAGGCTAATTGGAAGAAGTCCACCAGTGGGGAGGCCAGGGCCTGCCTTGGCCCTATGGGCTGCTACCATTAGATGTTCTAGTAGCGT